TAGTCTCATCACAGCTGAACACAGTAACACTGATAAAGTCTCCTTACTGCTATTAAAGGATTTCTGGTTTATTTAATCTGCATAAATCATAAAACTTAGTTAAATATGCTTCTGTAACTATCTGTAAGAACCCTGAGTAAATTGTATGCATTTGTCCATTCTACTGGAAGTTGTTCTTAGTTGTTACCAGGAGCTGTTGCTTATTGGCCTAATTTTTATTCCATATGCATGCTCTTTTAAAAACAATACCCAATCAGTCCTTATCACATGTGAGTAAATGTTGCAAACTTTGTACTTTAAAATACATACAAATGAGCAGAAAGTAAAGGTAATGTCTTGTAAACACTTAATTTTCCATATATTATTGATTCTGTTTACTATATATATAGTCTATAGGTAGACTATATGAAGATAAATATATATCCTCACCTATGTATAGGCTACAAGTACACATTTTCTCACTATAGTCATCTGCATGTGCAATGGGGGACAAAGATGTATAGAACCATGTGAGAAACTAGCACACTGATTTTCAAGGAATCCAGAGTCCTAGGAAGAACTTTCTAGCTACAGAGGCCTTATGCATCTATGATTGCGAGCCTAGCCCAGAACTTGAAAGTATGATCAGCACAGAAGCTACAGATCTTAAATGGGAATGCCCTTTTCATGTCACGATTTAGAGAAAACTCAGCCTAATGGAACGGTTAGAGAAGGTAGCATATTAGCAGTGAAAAGAATAGATCACTCTGCTGTAATCATCACAGAATCCTTACAAAAAAAAATTTTAATGTCCACAGAAAAAAAATTCCTCCTGTACTTCAAATTCCATCTTTAATTTCCTCTGCTTTCTGATCTCTGCAAATGAATGTAGTGACCACTCCGACTGGGCCTTAATACAGCTTACCTCAGAACTAATCAAAATTAATTCCAAAATGTCTGGAAGGTTTGCACTGTAACTCCTAATAGGAGCTTCCATACCAGCATTAAAGGACAACGGGTCAGCTCTCTGTACAAGGAAACAAAACATCTCAAGGCATTAAAACACGCTTGTACAAAATTATCTTACAAAAAATGCCTATAAGCATAGGAGGGGAGAGCAGGTAGCAAAAAAAGTGCCCAGATTACATAAAGAAAGAAGATTGAGAAAAGTAAAGACTATTTTTTCCATATGCAATATATTTAAAATAGGTCTGACAAATTACATAGCTGGTACTGGTACACAGGACAGGTAATGAAAGACAAATCAGTAAGCAAGAAAAAATTAGTCATATAACACTAATAACATAGTACTAGATATCCTTCAATACATCAGACTAGTCACTGCAAACATTTAAAAAAACTGCCAAATTACTAAGGCTTCTGCACGCGCCGTTACGCTAAATGATTAACTATCACTTCTCCTTCCAACCATCAGTCTTCGTTAGAATGTAACAATGCTGCAGATGACCATGCAAGATCCCTCAACTTAATTTTGGGTTGGTTTTTTTTCCTGTCAACTAGATTTATCGCTTTATACCCAGCTCCTGTATGTAAACCCCTATTAATTCAGTCTTCAGATAAATGCTAACATTTTAAGAAGCCAGGCCTCACAATAAACACACAGCGTATCTCAAGTTTGTTGTAATTTATTTGTGAGTTATTCTCAAGCAATGTTACAAAACATTTTAATGTCTTGATAAGAAAATAAAATTTAAATAAAAATACATTCAACAATGCGTCATAATACAAATTAAAACTAATGATAATTTACAATCCTAACAGAACTAATGACTGAATAACATCATCTTTCTAGACTAATCAAAATGAAGGCAGCTTTTATTATTAATCATCCTACTTGTACCTAATTAAATTCTAGAACATCTACTGCATTTTAAAACATTATAAAATGAGAAATCAAATCTTAATGGTCACAAATATTCAATGGCCTTTGTTTTTTTCCTAGATATTCCAGTACCAAGGGAAAAAAGTGCATATTTTTAAAAAAATGTAGCAAGAGTATACAATTGAATTTTTCATAAATTTGACTTTGAAAACAGAAAATGGCTCGAAGGAAGAGACACTTTGCCACAGGGTTAATCGATATACAGCAAAACCTAGCTTTGACACTCAACCACATTCAACTTTGTTTAATGGCAGCTTTTTATTAATGGCAATTAATCACTCACTTTACCTTGGCAAAACACATTTCTTGGCATTACTATATTCCCTGCCCTCCAATTTCAACTGTTGGCAAATAAAAGTCCCTTAGAATACATCAAATGTGTAAAAAAGGAAAAGGCAAAAACAGCTGAGGTGATTAAATGATTGTGACGTTGCAGACACTAGTACTGAATCCCGGATATTCTAAAATAGTTTGTCTGGTATTAAACCAAATAGTTATTCTAACAAGTTACATTCATTCCAAAAGAGATTTCAATCCTGTCTTGCCAACTTGCTTCTATTACAGAAAGCCTCCCTACAACAGTATAATAAATGTATAGCAATTTAAACAGTTTACAATTTCAAGCATTGTGGATTTCTATTCTATTTGCAAGTTACATTCCTAATTAATTTGGCCAAATCATGATTGTAAAAAAAACCCGAAACCAAAAAACACCCAACAACACAACAACAAAAGACCCCACAGCAAATGCTCCAAAAATAAAAGTACCATATATAGTTATTATTAAAAATAATATTCCAAGGAGTACCATTGTATTTAATACTGATGAAGCAAAGTTGCCACAGTAATACCTTTGCTTCTTCCTGGTTATATACATATATGTTCTTTCAGCATAAACCTAACTTCTCAGATGAAGTGAGCAAAAATTAATCTTAAAGTCAAGAATGCCAGTTTAAAATTGTGTTAAGTGGCAAATATGAATCCATATAACTAAAGATATAAAAATATTCACTGAAGCATTGCTTAAAGACAAAAGAATGTTGATCATTCAACTGATCATAACAAGCAGATACTACAAAGTATCTAAAAATAATCTGGGATAGTCCAGATATCTAAAGTGCTTTGAGTGATTATAATAGATTATTTATTAGATTTGTAGTCAAAAGGTGAGCTGGATCTAGTTACTACTTTTTACTAAAAAAAGAAATAAAATCATACAAGGGATGATGTAAATTGATCAGTACTTAACCACAATCTGTTCACATTTAAATTTTTCTATCTGTAGGCAAACTTATTTAAAAAGAATGTTGTTACCCTGCATTTCTTTTTAGATTAAGAAAAAATATGTACCTAAAAATTCCTAAAGAAAATAGATAGTGGTCTAATATCACTCCATATATTACTCACCCCAAATGTAAACAAGAGGTACAACATAAGTTCCCTGATTTCTTCTTCTTTAGTACTTAAAAACATAACTAACACTGCTATCTGCTGTCCAGATTATTTGCAACATACTGCATGATTTTGTAAGACTTCAGCTGTAGATAAATCAAGTCCTGACAACACCTAATACAAGGAAAAAAAGTTAAAATAATTGAGTGTGAAGCTTCAGATCTTTTTCATGTCATAGTATCTTGGGATTTCTATTTCAAGACCCATACCAGCAGGGCAGGCACTCATGGTAAACTCATGCAAGTTTGCAGTGTATGTATCGAGAGATATAATCCAACCAACAAATGCCGTGTGGATTTTCTTCCATTAAAAAGCTTATTTGTTTAGAAAGTTCTCTCCAATAAGACAACAATGGCAAAACAACATTTAGATTTATTCACACCTGTTACTTCAAGAACCTGGAACTTCAAGTTCTTCAGCAAAATGAGAATAAACCTTAAGACCAGATTTCCAAGTAGATCTTTTTCCATTAAATATTAAATAGATTGTCAACACAACTAGCATTTATGTTCATTCTTAAATACTTTGTAAAAATGCATATAATGAGTTTAAAAAAAACAAAACAAAACCAAAACAAAACAACAAAACAGTCAAGAACATTTCCAGTTTCTTTTTTCATCCAAGTGTGCCACAGTTTGTTTTGGTTAGGAAACTTTTCCAACAATTGGATTTTCTCTGGGGAAAAAAAAGAAGTCATATGTAAATATTTTCAAGGTTAAAGTTTGCTTTCTAGTTCTCATCATACAATTTTTATTTATTAAGCAAACCTATATTCTTTGCATCATTCCTACTGCTACTTATGAAATTTCACGATTTGCAGAAAACCTCACATACTTTCATGTGAGACCTCTAAATCAAAGTCAATTTTTCTAAACAACTTGGGTCGAATACTGAACTGGGCAAACCAAATCAGGGTTTAAGCATTCTTTTTTTCTGGTGAATCAAGCCCTATTGATGCAAAGAAGGAATCAGAAAACTTGCTAGTGGTGTTCCATAGATATCAGCCAGGATTGAAGAGAATTGAAAGAATCTGCTCTGGAACAAAAATGCACTCCTAAGAACAGACTTTTTTTTTTTTAACTTCACCAGAAATAGTATTTATCATTGAGTATGGCGAGTGAATTACAAACAGTATATATACTGCATGAAAGAGATGTTTCTGCAGTGTAATTTTTACAGTTTTACGTAACTTGATATTTTAATTATTTCTTAACTGAAATTTGAAATTTCGGAAAAAAATTAGAAGGTAGGCAGACAGTTAGGGATAAATTTTGTGCGCACTTCAGATGTTAAGTTGCAAGGAAACGACAGAGTCATTGCACCCACTTATGGGAATCTCAACAGGAACACAGATGAATCCCACACCAGAGGAACTTCTTGTATCTTCTAACAAATGGTAAAAAGCTGCATTACTACAAATTATGCACCTTACTTTCTCCATGTCTTTGTGTTGTCTAAATCTACCTTTAGCTTAATTATTTCTACCTCAACAAGCCTGGCCTTGTTCTACAATTTTTTTTTTTTTTTAAATACACATTTATGTATGTCAAAATTACATAAGATACTTACTCACTACCATATTTAGCACTAGATGATCTCTTCTTTCGGTATTTTTCATGCGACTTCTTCACAGTTGCCAACAAAACTTCAATCGTGCTACACTTACTCACTACCATATTTAGCACTAGATGATCTCTTCTTTCGGTATTTTTCATGCGATATTCAGCTTTTTTCTACTATATCTATTATTTGTTTAAGTGTATGAAAAGTTGCTACAGAATCTTCAATTGTGAAGTTAGAATAATCATCTGGTTCTTTCCGTGGACCTTGATAGACTGCTATACTTCCGCAAGCCTCTACAAAAATTACCACAATTATCCCAATTAGAATTTCAATAATTAAAAAACAGGTGTAACTCTTGTGATAAATGGTGATTCTGAAATTCTGAAATGTAAAGTTACTCTAGCTTATACACAAAATGGGTTAAGACAAAAGCAGGAGACAGTATCAACTAGATGTATTTACAGTTCTGTGGCTTATTCTCTGCTGGGTGTGTTCAGCACCTTGAGCATCCAGCTCTCTCCTGTTCACATTAACAGAAGACCAATGCATTCTTGCAACTCAACCGTGTTCAACAGAATTCACTCCATAGTCAGGAAAACGAGAGCAAAGACAGAAGAGCAACCAGCTATAGTTGCAGTCTCTCTGTTTAGACTATTAAAGATATTTCATATATGCAAATTCAATTAGAATAATGTGCATGCCTGATGTCTACTGTGAAGAAATGACTGAAGAATGTCTGATACCAGAGCACTAAGAGCACAAAAATATAATCTGTGTCTCTACTCTCTATTATTTTCAAGTAACTTGTTAAGACATCAAACAGATGTTACAGGCCTAAAGAATTAGAGCTGAATAATATCAGTATAATTCTTCTGAATTATTATTTGAGTACCTTCCAACTTCTGTAGTTTAGACATGTTGATAGTGAAAAGTGAGTAAATTCTTTCTGTCTCTCTGTCTCCATCAATCTCAATTTGAGTATCAGCAGGAACATCTCTAAAAGGTGAAAAAAAAGAGACAGGTAGTCAATATTTAAGTCATTCTTGAAAGCAAGTAAAAACTGTTTCAATATACTTAGCCTTTTAATATGTCTACCACTCACGGACAGCTTCACAATTGCTACACAAAACTTAGCATTTGTTGCAAGCGTTCTATAGAAACAGGCATATACAGTTTTGAGGGCAATGAATACAGCAATACTAAAAATCGCTTTTTCCAGTAGAATTTATTATTCAGTATGTCAAGAGAAAAGTATTTCACAAAAGCATCAAAGTAAGGTTAATTGTTATTAAATGACAATTAAACACTTCTTTTAAAATCCACTATATTTGAAAGGTAACCAGAACAGAAGGACAAGATACATTCCTAAACCAGAACAGTTAAAAAAACAGATAAAACCAACCAAAAAAGTTATTTAGTAACGGGAATCTTTTGAACTCTTGAGAAACCTAATATAGGAATGAACTGAGTAACATGGAAAAAGTATTATAGATTTTCAGAAAGTTATCTTATAGGACTTATACTGAATTTTAGAAGACTGACTGAGACCTTTAGCCTGTAACTTATGCAACCTATCCAGCTAAGGATAAATTTATTTTTTAAAAAGATCAGAGCATTTGTTTGTTTTCAGAAATCAGCAGCTTAAAGAAAGGCATTAATGCATTATAAGATGTCATTCATTTTCCTGACATACCTACAAAACCCAAATGATTTTTCAGAATCTACATCCAAGATTATTCAGCTGATTTTCTTAGTACAGTGTGTTTTAAAATATATGAGGTTAAAGTAAAAAAGTGACTGTATAAAACAAGACAATGTCATGAAGGAAAGAGATAGACTTCTAGGCTGAGCCCTCTGCAGCAAGGTATTTCAATTGTTTCATATAGATGACCTAGGCGCGTCATATTTCTGCATTCACCTTAGCATCTGAATAAACTTGAGCTATTAAATTTATTATTCTGCATGGAAAGAAATCAACCATTCAATATTTCTGATTTACATGTTTAATTGGTTACCTTCATTTCATATGGTGGCTGATGAAGTAATAGACTTGGTAAAATCCAGTACTTTGGGCCTTATCTAGCAAGGCATGTTTTTAGTAGCGTAACTTGCTAAAGTAGACAGGGAAAGCCTTGCCTTCACATTTTCAAGTTGTACAGTGAATCATACATTATTTGTCCTACAAAACATATGTATTTTCATTTGAGAAGGAACTTACGCAGTGCAACGAGCACAGCCCACTGTGTTCTCTATGGTAGCCTTGCAGCAAAGCCAGTTCCCATTCAGAAAAGCAGAAGGATGATAAAAACTAAGCCTCTTCTGGTTACATCTCGTTACCCGGCAAAGAGCTTCTATCCACTCACTAGCTTCTACACAGTTATTTGCTTGGATATAGAGTGGCTTTTCTCCATGTAGTACTTGAAACATCTGTAGAAGGAATGCAACATTATTCTGCTCAGTAAAAAATACTCAGTTCTTGAGCAACTTTGAATATGTCAAAATAGATTTCAAAGCTCAAGCAATTCAACAACGCCAAATTAAGACAGAAAGTGAGACAAGGGAGAAAAGACGACTTTTCACCACTTTCGTTTTACTACACAGCCCTATTTAGGAGAAAAAAAACCCAAACCAGCTCCCTGTGTTGCACCTACACCATTTCCTCATCCAAAAAAGAATCCTTAAAGAATTAGAACATGATGCATTTTCTGTCCTCTTCATTCACATATCTTTAAATGTGACCTCAGACTTCATGCTTCATATCCTGAGAATAACAGCAGATTCCCAGAAGTCTCTCCTTTACCCATCCTCAGCCTAAGTAACAGCTGTACTTTTATCACTGCCTCAGAATTTTTGATTGAAATAACAGAAATACTGATGCGTTACAGGTCCAGAATGAGGCTGTGAGCAGAGAACTGTCTCAGCTGATGAAGGTATTGTAGGAAGTTCTCATCAAAAGGAATAAATACAAGTTTGGTAATATTACATTTCTAGTAGAACATAATATAATTCATACTACTAATACCTTACATAAAAGTGCTTTGTAATAAGGTCACAGGAGTTTTACCCTTCATTCCAGGAATTTGGAAAGGGTGGCAGAAGTCAGAAAATCAGTGAGAAAAGTTGGTGCAGAGATCCAAATCTCCAGGTTAAGTTCCGTGTTCAGAGTACTTGGAAACACTACATACAGCTTGTTATTCCCGATCCAAAAAAGATTTTTTGCTGAAGTGTTTAGTAATAGGGTTTCAGTAATTCTATAAGATAATTATAATCTTTTATTTAAAGAACACATCAAGAATTACATATAAACTATCTTTTGACTCACATTTTTCTTGTTGAAGGAGCTCTCATCAAGTTTCTCCACTGCAAGAATGTTTTTGATTGGAATAGTGAAAATTGGTTCTTTATCTGTAAAAAAAATCGTAAACAGATGAGTAAAGTGATTTTTTAAAAACTGTTTTATAACTTCAGTGCACTGATACTGTTAGTTAAGTTCTCAAAATGTGCATTTTTATTATTGAGAAAACGTACATGAATCAGTGTGTTTTAGGAAAAGAAAAAAATTATGCATTTTTAAAAAGCACAAAACAGATGCAAACACTTAAAATATTGAGAAAAAAAATTATGCATTTTTAAAAAGCACAAAACAGATGCAAACACTTAAAAAATATTGAGAAAATAAAAATAATTGTAAAATAAACATAAGTTACCTTGCTGTTTGTGGTAGGTAAATTCTCTACTTGTTAGACAGAACCACCGCTTCTTGAAATTCTTTTTACCAATCCGAGTCCTTCCCTGAGCTCTTTTGTACATTTCTCTGTAAAGACAGAATCAAATGAAATGCAACCACTAGTCTTCTGAAGAGCTTTCAAAACCATTTACTGAGATAATACATTATTGTTCATCATGCAGCAACATAAAAATCTACTTCACTGTAGATTAAAAAAAACCCTACTAGTTGTTCAAAATAGATCCTTGAGATTACCTCCCAATATGGTGATCATGTACAGGGTTCCATTAACAGGAAAGGAGTTTGAAAAATACGCAATCCAGACTCTTGTTTGTAGCAGTAGATTTGGAGTGGGTACTTACTTACTCAGATCCAGACTCCAAATTTTCCCAAAAGGGAGTATGGTGTATCCCAACTACAAGACTCTCTCTTTCCTGACACTTTCTACTTGTGAACGTACTTGGCCTTATCTGGATCAGAAACTGAGTGTCAGTGAGATGATGCTGAACACAGCTCAATAGCAAGGGTAGACACAAACTGTATTCAGTACACTTTAAGTGTACTCACTGGCAACTATTTTTTTTTGAGCAACAGCCATCAATTTATAATACAGACTAGCTTCCAAATTGCTATAACTAAGTGTTGATCCACTACAATTGTCTCCTTCATTTCTATTTAGTTTTTTAATAAGAGGTACATTTCTTCCTTGTTTGAAATTTGGATGCTTGTTTCACAGAAGAATCTTTACTTGCTATGAATCTGCTTCTCAGGTAAATACAAATGTTTTTTCCCCATAAATGTTGTTTGAATTAATTCATCAGCTATTCTTCATCAACATAAAAAAAAATACTTCATTTCTTAGAAAGAGTGATTTTCACCTCAATTTTTGTAAAAGCATTCTATAATTTACTGTTAAGTATTCCAATTACAGGGTAATTTTTCCCCTACTTTAAAGGCAGAACGTTTAGCTGGCTGGGCTTAAACAGCATGCAAAGTCATTCTGAATTAAATTCATACCATGTTTTAAAACACACTTTCACAATCCTGAATAAACCATCACAGCTCAGTCACTGAATGGTAACAGAAATGCAGACAGGCTTTAATAGGTTTTAGGCTGCTTTTAATTATTTTTTCCAAAGTATTTAGAAGATGAGTTATGAAAGTTTACAGCTGTTGGTTTAAACTAATTCTGCAAACTAACAAAGAATTATCACCAATTACAAATATCACAATTTCTACAGTATATCAAATATTTTAATAAGCATTAATCTGATGTTGGCATTAATGAAAAAACCAGTAAAGTCAATTCTGTTTTGCATGATGTAGATTCAAGATGTATTTACCCTTCTTTTAGATGTACTGGCTCACTCAGACCACTGGGCTCTTTACTTTCAGTAGAGGAAACATCATCTAGGAACTTAAGGAAAAATACACAGAGAATATATACAATACAGAAACACAGAACAACCAAGAGCTATTTTGTAAATATACATGTACAGTTTCTCCCAGAACGGAACAATTACTTTATGCAACAGATGAAATGAAAATATATTGCAGGGACTTGGAACAATGTAACAAGGGATGCCCATAAGTCACACAAGATTTCTTTATTTAGTTCCTAAACAGCAGACCTAATAAAGTCTGTTTCAAAAAGTTTATACTACTTTTTTTAAAAAAACCCACTAAAATTAGCTTAGTCTACAAAAAAAAAAAATCTATTTGAAAGGTACCTTTTTAACAGATTCAGTAAATTTTTCTTCTTGAAATGTTTTGAAAAACTCACACATAAACGTCTCCTTGAAACTTGACTGGAAGAAAAGGTAAATTGACATAAATAAACTTTCTTTGAAAGTTGTCTATGAAATAAGAAAGAATTTTAGTAGCCTTACAAGTTTGCTTTTGGTCAAACTTCCCCAACTCCCCAAAGTCTGGATGGCTTTTGATATAAGAGTTAATGTTCTAGAAGTCTGTGCATCCTAAAATAAAGAAACAAAATTCAGAAGTCACTTTTTTTTTCCCCCCACAATTCCAGGTAAAGCTTTGATTTAAAAATGAAAATGTCACAAAAAAATACTCTATTACACAATGTAGTAAATCTGACGCATCTTCATTCCTTTTCTTCTTCGCCCAAAGAGAAGAAATGCATATGCAGTATTGTCCTCTATTAGCACTTGCACTTTGTGAAGATATGTATCTTTTATAAGCTACTGTACAGTGTTTAATATTTTACTCACTACCCCCAGAATTTAATATTAGTACTTGGAAAAATATTTTACTTATATAACATCTCAACCCCCCTCAAATCCTGTAATTGTTACTACCCATCTAATGCTTCTGAACTATTCAAAACTTAACACTAAACATAATGAACTATTGCTGGACAAATGGTAGAAATTCTCATAATACAAAGTGAACTTAAAACTTTGTCTTTAAGGCTTTTGTCTAATTTGTTTGCTACCTCACTGCTTGCACTTTAGTACAGGATTATAAACACAGCCACAGAAAGGGGCCTTGCTGTTCCCTTTAAAATGTTTAACCCTCAAGTGATAAAATCCTGCAGTCTTTTTACTCAGCGAACTGGATAATGTCAAAGGTATGAATTTGAGTAAGTATATTTTTTTCTTTTGAAAGCACAACACACTGAAGTAGATAAAATAAAAAAATAAAGATAGCCTCTGGAGCAGAAGATTTCACACATCTGTATTTTATGTGAAAATAATACAGTATTTTTTCCTTATCTCCATATTCCTGTCTTTGAAGATTTTTTTTTTTATGCATATCTATTTGACAATTTGAAAACTGAAAATGGAAGATTTGGCAACCCACTGCAACTAGTGGAGTCCAGAATAAATATGCAGACCAATTATTGGCTAACTCTACAACCTCTGTTTGAGACACAAATGAAAATGTTTTTTTAAAAGTGAAAGTGACATCTGGATATTTAACTTCCATGGTGGAAGTTAAACCAATGCAGTTTAGGCATATACCTTAAAGAACCCTCAGTCACGTTGCTATTCTAACAAAGCAGCACATTCCCAAAAAAGGCACAGCATCTTTAGTATCAGTGACTCCTCTACATCGTTTGAGAACACCTCATAAAGACTGAGAAATTTGATGCTTAAAGAACCGCAAGTGTCTTCGTTCCTTTGGTGAGGTATAAAATTGAAAACTCAACCTGGAGACATTTAGTAATCTTATTTCCCAGTTACCCGCTGAAAGTAACTTATGCCTTCCCAGATAAACAGATCTGACGGTTATGAATAAAACAGAACAAAGCTTCACGAAACTTACTGGATGGTGAGGTCGTAAATGAAAAGTATGAGGTGAGACTACGGCTACAGCAAAGAAACGAAGAAACACAAAGCTGCTCACTGCAGAATACTGTACATGAGGATCATCTGCAGAGAAAAACCATGAAATGTAACATGCACTAAACTTAGTAGGAAATAATGAAGACAGTCAACATAAAAATCCTTAAGAAGATAACATCAGAGGAGACATTTTAAAACAGAACAGAAAAATCAATGAAGTGCATGAAATGAGAAAGGTGATCATGGTAAGAAGTGTCCTACTTATAATGAAGGGTTTATTTCTCTGAAAAGAAGTTCTGTTCTCATAAAACTGGCTCATCAGCTCCACTACTAGGAACGATGAGGTTATTGCAAGCATTTACATACAGTGTTGATTAGGTACGGCTGTATGCACGTTGAACCAAAAGAGAAAATATTATAGCAGTTGCCTTGAAACTCTAGGGCTATCGGGTTTATTCACCCATAAAGTTAATCACTGGTCAAGTCAAATACATTAATGCTGCACAACAAGTGCAGTCAACGCATATGAGTAACTTCAACTCCACTCCTGAGTTGCATCATAAAACCATGGTGTTATATAATTTTGATGCTGTAAATGAGGATTTTCTCATTTAGTATTTTGGGTATATTTACACCTTTATACTGGGAAATACAGCGGGATCACATTCTTACTCTAATGACCACTTCAATCTATCTGTCCGGGAAGTTAGCTATTCTGAAAGGACTGTCTGAACTAGAGGAATTTATGGCATCAGTTCCAGTGACAAACATGAATCAAAGAAAGGCTCCAGATTATGAGAAGTATATTCCTCCTTTGTAGCTTATAATATGACACTTCAGATTTTAATTGACTGAAGTATAAGAGTATTTCAGACCCACCACATTATTCCTATATTAAAACCATTCTGAAAGAATAAAGCTGTTCTAATACTGGTCACATTACAAACGCATTAAATATTTTACATTATCCACCCTCCCCAAAACTACCCATAAGTAGTAAAGCTGGACACTTAAGTTATGAATGTGCTAGTCAATAGTTAACATAGTTGCAGTTCATGTAGTTAAGATGTAAACACCAAATTTATTTTCAAGTTTACAATCTTGCTTCTTTAGAAGCAATAAACAGATCAGCTCTTCCAAACTTTATGCATCTTTCAACTAAATCACCTCCTGTATTACTTGTGCTTTTCTTCTAGTATCTCATACTTCTGTTGGTGACTTCTTATTTGCTGCTGCCTTGCAGCGTTTCTGACCTGCTACATTTTTGTATCAGAAAATACAAGATTCTTGCTGATTGACCACAAGGCTTTACTATAACTTACAGACTGACAGAAAAACAAATGCCTGATTGTCAAGGTAAGAAGTTCAGGGCACAGCTTTGCAGAAGGCAAGAATTTTAACAATCCCCATAAGGTAACTGCAGAAGTTAAGTATTTCACTCTGAACATCATTTTCTAAAGTTTTTAGAGAACACTTACTTGGAAATCTTTTGGCAGCCAGATGCCTCAAAGAATAAAAAACATCACACATTAGGGTAGGACAACTTATACTTGACCGCACAATTTCACGGAATACTTTGTCTACATAATAGCGTAGATTTTCCTGCAATTATGAAAAAAGGTATTTTTTCAGACCATTAACATTTGCATTTCTATGTTTTTTTCCTGAACACAAACATAACACTACAATTCCTTTTTTCAAAACGCTGCCTGACTATTCAATTATGTATTTTAGTACAGTGCATATTTAAAAAGCCTCATAATATTTATATGGGATTACTAGTTTATTTTTACTAAAAAGATAGTTTAATGATATTCACTTAAAGTATATAAGCAGTGTCTGGCAATACACAACTTTCTATCAAAACCCATTTTTGTAGTTTGACAACAACATCTTACAAGGAAGGAGCACTTCCCATGCATACCTAGTGAATGCTAATTTAGTTTGTTGCAGCTACTATTGCCTTAAGTGTCATCCTCTGGTAACGTGCAAGCGGCAAGCAAAACTTCAGGGAAAAGTGTTAAAGCAGTCCTAATTAGCTACTTCATCATCTAGATGCTGAGTACAGAACATCAGGAATCACAACACCCAACAAATTGGTAAGGAAGACTGTAATCCTCTGTATAGTTTCTCCTCCCCGTCCCATTTTCCGTTGGACTTTTCCTTTGCTGTTTTCATAAACAGGGATAAGAAAATACAATTTTTCCTTTGTTTACTCTGGAATCAGAGAATTATACTGCTACCCTAAGTTACTCATTTTCCATTACACAGAGCTGCTTTATAAAATGTTTTTCTATCAGATTTTGAGAAAGTTTAAATTAGGTAAAACAGATTAGGAAACTCACCATATTAATTTCTACATTATCCCCTTCTCTTAATTTGATGGGATCTATTTCACAGGGTTTAGGAGACTCACATATCTGAAACAAACAAACAAAACTATAGGAGTTCAATTTTTCAGACAGAAAGCATGGAAATGTACCTATTTAAAACCAGATTCTGCCCTAGATTTAGGGGTAAAGCTCTAAATAGGTTCTACCGATCCGTAACAGCATGCAATAATCATCCTCACTTTTGTGTGTGCCTTTTCACATGGATCAATTACATAAAGCATCACGGGGGTAAATTCTGCAATGTGTTAGAGGCTGGAGGAACTGTCATTGACTGTTTATTTTCAAGCATCTGGAACATAAATAACAAAAAGCAGCTCCTCCCACTAAACTTAACCAATTATTGCTCATTTTAACTTTCCTCTAGAATTCCCCCAACTGAGTGATTACTAACACAGGGAGCTGTAAGAAGAATGCCTATCAAAGAGACAGGATACCCCAGGGGGCTAAGTGTCCTGAAAACAGTTTCAGTAGGATAACCTACCTCATCAATAACAGGTTTCAAAGTAACCTTTAGGTAGTGCTTCCCCACTATTTTCATCATTTCATCTACACACCGAGTTGCTAATGAGTTGCCTCTGAAGACTGTGTTTGCTTCTCTGTAAGAAAATAATTTATTTTATTTGAACAGGAAAAAATAAGAAGCTCAGTTACAAATTCCGATTAATACTTTATCTTGCTATTAAATAATTAATTTTTTTAAAACATTTTTTCATATATTTCAGTCAGGAATTCCAGAACCTAGATACCCAGCTTGCAATGGCACTCAGGAACAGAAAAAGAATAAACAAGAATATTATTGCAGCTTTTACCAAAACTAGGAACATAAATAAAACCATAAGAAAAAGCCTAAGAAATTTTAGACAAAGGAAGTCACAATCCAGTGCTGAATGTGAGAAAGAACAATTGGAGAAAATTCCAAAATAACAACAACTTGTACCTCACCAATAAACAATTCTTCCTCCAGTAGTCCTGGTGAAAAAAAATCTTAGAGCTACAATGAATAGCATACTGCTACACTACACTGATAAACTCCGACACTTTAACCAAAACATATTTCATCTAGGGTTATGCTTTTTATTCATTATAGCTGTTGAAGAAAACTGAGAGCCAGCTGTGCAAAGTAAATCTTTCTAATCTGAGAGATTTAATCTTTCTTTGTTACAGTTCAATTATAACTGAAAGGAATGTGTGTACTAAAATGCAGTTCAGAAAAATTATTTTCCACGAGTCACCTCTTTCTACACAGTTAAATTGTCTCACCTTACTTAAATCTGGAATAAGTCAGCTTTGAAATGAACCATCCTGTGGTGACAAAACCCCTTCCACATCTCCACAGGACATGACTTGGCACCTCAGTGGCCACTACTCAGGTCCACTTCATTTCTCTCCTAACCTCAGAGCTGCAAATTCACAGGCCGTACACTGCTACTTGGAAAAACTCCTGTGCTTGCTACTTTCAAGGCATGCAGGAGGACACATACACACTTACAAGGCACCTTTGCAGAAAAAGAGTACCCCTCACTTAAGTCACATACTAAAGGAAACAGGGTAAGTTTCTCAGCAATTTTAAAAATGTTAAGTACCAATCTAATGACCAGTAAAATTTGAAGAGTGGCCAAATTATGACATTTTAAAATAAAAACTACGTGCTCTTAGACACAACTCTAGACTGCTAGCTTGCTATGTTTAGCCATATACTAGGTCCAAGAAGATTTTACAAAATTTAACCAAATAGCACACAATCATTAACTCTGACTCCCAGCTTCAATGGGATTTTAATGAATGTTTTTATAAACTAGCATTAAAAGATGAATGTATTTAGTCAGTTTTACATAATGAGAGAAAGAAATTCGACATGCTTACTTATCAACGTTGTATCATGAAGCCCTTTAAAACTCTTAATAATAATTTAAAAAGGCATCACTAAACATGAAATACATACTGGGTGTCCTTCAGATCTAGTTCTGCCACTGCAGCAACAAATGGAACTAGCTTATGGTGGTGTAGCAATAATCGTACAAGAGGCAGAACAGCATCGTACTTGTCTCGACAAACTTCACTCAGTATGTAGGCAGCAGATGCAGAAATCGGCTGTGAGAAAGCAGAATACAAAATCATGAGTGAGGTAGTTAAGTGTTCTTCATGTATTTGGCAAAGTACAGATCAAATCTAACAAGACTATAGACGTAGCTTCTTAAAAAAAGTTTCAACATTTGCTGTATAACATGGCAATTAAAAGTTTTCATTCTACAGAAATACTTAACTGAAAATTGGTATTATCGACTCTATACTTGACATTTAAGAATGAAATTCAGCATCTACTCACCCTTCTCATCCTCCCTAAAGGGTTAGAGTATGGCTTTGTCACAAATCCAAGTAAGAGGCAGTAAGCAATTGCTTTACTATAATGTCATATATCTTTATAGGACTTTTTAAACTATAATCAGAGCACATTAAAATACAGTTCTCACTTCTAAAGTGTTTGTCGCCATTCTACAGTTGGGAATTCCAATTAAAAAACTTATCAAGTGATTTCATTTAAGTAAAAAAAGACAGCTGTTGACTGCTGCTAGCTACATACTCAGCTCTTCCTGAATTCCAGTGAAGTAGTATTTGAATATGGGCTAGCAAAAATTTTAGTCACAATCTGCTTCCTCTTTACCTTTCTTCTCCTCTGCCAGTACTTCACCAGCACTGAAGTGAAGGAAGGCAGGCTATAGAAGACCTAGGAATATAAAGCCTGGTTATTATAATTTGATTCCTGTCTCAATGCTATGCTAACCATCTACCACACTTCACTCTTTTGTCACCATGTCCACGTGAGAAATCCAGTCATGCTGATTAATGTACTGGGGAAGACAGAAGCAATTCAGAAGAAGTGGAATTAGAAATTAATTCTGAAGCAGACTATTTTTGGTAAAGGTGATTATCTGCCCCTTCAGCGCCAATAACACCCCAGAAAACCGCTAAATCCAGGGAGCCAATAGCAGCCAGTGGGAAAAGACAATGTTGAAAAGAGCAATCAACGAGAAGAAAGTATTTTATCTCTTCCAGTCACACAGCACAGGTTATTTCACAGTCTCTGCTGGTTCTTCTAAAATAAGAAGAATATCTTGGTAGTTTGGAGCAGAAGTAAATGCTCTACAAGCTACTCATCTGGTTGTGACAGAAGTAATTCATGCAAAGGAACAAAATTTCTCTAGATATGCATAATTCACATTGTCTCATACAGGACTGCATAATTCATTTTAAGTTTTCATTTTAAAAAAAATTTTCAACAAAAGTACCTGAACATCTGATGATTTTAGCAGCAAGTTTCTTAGAGAAGCATAGTATTCAGATGGAAGTACAGAGTCTTCAGTATAACAGATATTTAATCTAAGTGATCCCAAATCATCAGTTTTAGAAGACTTGTTTCCATTTTCTCTTGGTTGAAGTAAGTACCTGAAAGCAACAGGGCAATTTAAAATATTAAATTCTGGTTTCATTAATTTGACTAATTCTACAATAAAGCAAAGTATCACATTTAATTATTTCAGTACACATAAACTGAGTCTGAAAACTGGCAATAAAATTCACATAAAAAAGCTTGAGACACAAAAGAAAAAAAAAGGACAGCATTTTGATGCGCCTTTAGCACATAATGAAACATGTATTTATTTTCTCATATCTTTCCGAACAGTGAAATAGGATATACTTCTTGTAGCTCAACTGGGATAGCAGGAATAGTTAGAAATTATGTTGGACCTTCTCATTTTACATCTAAGTTATATTTAGGGTGTTGGACATTGCAGATGGAACAGCTAGTGTCAAGAATTTCAATGGTCTAGTCTGAAACCAGTAAAAATACATAATATTAACAGGCTGCATTCCTGAGAAACAAGTAAGATTAAAAGAAACAAAATTGTGCTTTTTTCCTACTCTCAATACAAAATATATTAAACAATTCTTCATTGGCTTTTGCTGTAGTTCAACTGTATTCCAACAGGAGGTGCAGCCCTACAAAAATTTTAACAGTTTTTAAGTGGTGTCACAGTATAGTTTCAACATGCAGCCTGACAAACTGAAATCATATCTTCAAAAATTCTTTTACAATCATTTATATTTGTACTTCTGCAATCAGGAGATCAGACTTCTTTCAATAATCAGATGCATTGCCCATGAAGGCATGCTAAAATAAAGTAAAACTGATTTACAAGAACCTCTACTTGACAGCATGACTCTTAGGCTTATTTTTCCAATATTTAGTACTAGTGATACTGTTTTATCTGCTGTACATCAGCTGTATTAAAAAACATTTTATGTAAATTAGTAGTAGTATAAAAAAAGTTATTTTTAATCACAGAACTGCTTTTGATAAGCAGATCATAATTGGGTATGAGGATGTTCAATACAAGGTATGCCTACAAAGTATATTAGCAGACACAAACCTCTCTATCGATGCTTCAAGTGAACTGGACATGAGTCAGGTTAATTCAAGAAGCTATGTGAACACAATATCCTGGTAATGAGCCCATGCTAATATAACCTTTCTCTTAGCAGGCTGTTAACGGAGGCATATCATACAGCTTTTGATCAGTTCAGAGCACTGGCAGAACAAGCCTGTGTCTGCAATACACCGTGTAAAAAAATTGAAAATTCTGACACAAGCATTTATTATGTTTAGGATCACATTCAAACACTAAGAATCACAGTTCAACTTTGACACATCCAAGACACTTGGAGCCTGAGGTGGGTACATGGAGCAGAGCCATAATGGTTCCTGGCCAAGACCTGTGCTCCATTTAGGTCCTATTTACCCACTTCCTTCCTACGTGTTTTTTACGTGGATATGGAAGGGCTTCCTCCGCTCTTTTCTCTGTACTTAAAGGTGCACTAAAAGCAGAATATTCTACACACTTTGAGGCATTCGAATCTGTTGCACTCATCACTTCCTGCCGCTAAGCATCTGGGACAGTAAAGGGGCTAGAGATCGGCTCCTGCTTGCAAGAACTTCAGAAGGGAGGTTGCTGCTATGTTATAAGCAGAGGTCTGTCTTTCCTGAATTCCCTTCATACCTTACACTTCCAGCTTTTAGACTTCTGTGCCTGCTCCCGTGAAATGACATTGGGTTGGTTCCAGAAGATACTTTCTGAACCTCCCCAAGGGGGAATAAAAAAA